CCCCAGAGCCTGTCCCAGCCCCCAGACCCTCCTCCAGTGCCCCAGATCCTCCTGCAGTGCCCTCAGTGCCCCCGACTCTCCTGCAGCCCTCCCTCCTCACCGAGCCCACCCCCAGCTCCCCCTGGGCGTGGTCGCCCCCATCCCCAGCAGCAGACAAACGGGAACTGCCCCTTTGGCATCTCCCAGCCCCCGCGGGTGCCCCACGGGGGCGTTTTTGGGGCTCCCCCCCGCCCTCAGCACCCACGGCTGCTCTTCTGGGGAGCCCATGCCCCTTTGGCATCTCCCAGCCCCCACGGGGGCGTTTTTGGGGCTCCCCCCCGCCCTCAGCACCCACGGCTGCTCCTTTGGGGAGCCCCGGGGGGCACGGGCAGGGCACGGGGAGGTGACAGCCCCCTGCCACGCCAGGCATGGAGTCGGCCGGGATCCACGAGACCACCTACAACTCCATCATGAAGTGCGACATCGACATCCGCAAGGACCTGTACGCCAACAACGTCCTGTCCGGGGGCACCACCATGTACCCGGGCATCGCCGACCGCATGCAGAAGGAGATCACGGCCCTGGCGCCCAGCACCATGAAGATCAAGGTGGGCCCTGGCTGACCCAAGCGGCGTGCCAGCACCCCGGATCCCCTCCTGCCGCGGGGTTTTGGGGTGACCAACAGGAGGTGTCCCCGCAGATCATCGCCCCGCCGGAGCGCAAGTACTCGGTGTGGATCGGCGGCTCCATCCTGGCGTCCCTCTCCACCTTCCAGCAGATGTGGATCAGCAAACCCGAGTACGACGAGGCCGGACCCTCCATCGTCCACCGAAAATGCTTCTAAGCCCCCTCCCCGCCCCGCCGGGGCCCCCCGTGCCCAGGCTGGGGTGCCCCGCTCCTCCCGTGACCCCGCTGCTCCTCCCCACCGCCCACCGCGCATTAAAAGCCTTTTCTCCAGCTCGGGGTGTTCCTGGGGGGCTGGGGGGAACTGGGGGGGACGGGGGGCTGTCCCCGCCCCCTCCTCCTCTCCCCGCCACTTCCCGCGCGTTGACGTCACGGGGCGGTGGCGCGCGCTGCTGATTAGCATCTCATTAGCATATGACGCGGGCAGGAAACGGCGGCGGCGGCATGGGGCGGAGCGGGGCCGCGCTGCGGCTGGCGCTGGAGGGGAACATCGGTACCGGGGGGCACGGCGGGCTTGGGGTGCGGGATAATGGGTGTAATTAGCTTAATTAGCGCTGCTGGGGGCGCGCCCCAAAACCCCCGAGCTGCGGGGAGCTGGAGAGGGACACAGAGGGTGTCCCTGGGTTGGGGACACGCGGGTCACCCCAATTCTCGGGGGTCGGGTTAGGGACACCCGGGTCACCCCAAATTCCGGGAGGGGCACCCCCAGATTTGCCCCGCAGCCGCAGTGGGGAAACGCCAGGCTCACCCCGATATTCCCAGATTTGGGGTGGGGGACCCCCAGATTCAGCCCGTGTCCTGGGGGGGACACTCAGGCTCACCCCGGGGTTTGGGAAAGGGGGACACCCCGGCTCACGCCGTGGTTTTGGGATTTTCTAGGGGACACCCCACATTCCCAGAGTCCGGAGATGGGGGACACCCAGGCTCACCCCACATCCCCAGGGACAGGAGGGACACCCACATCCCTTAGGGACAGGGCACCCCAGGCTGACCCCACAGCCCCAGGAGCAGAAATGGGGGACACCGGGCTCACCCCACATCCCTTAGGGCCAGGACTGGGGACCCCGGGCTGACCCCTGGGGACAGGGGACACCGGGCTCACCCCACATCCCTTAGGGCCAGGACTGGGGACCCCGGGCTGACCCCCCAGCCCCGGGCTGACGCTGCCCTCGCTCCCCTCGCAGCCGTGGGGAAATCGACCTTCCTGAAGCTGCTGGCTGCCACCTTCCCGCGGTGGCACCTGGTGACAGAGCCGCTGGCGCAGTGGCGCGAGGTGCCGGCTGCTGGCACTGCCCAGGTAACGCCACGGTGCCACCCTGACCCCAAATGTCCCTGCGGGTGTCCCAGGGGGCTGTGCCAACCCGCTGCCACCCCTGATCCCCAATGTCCCCCAGGTGTCCCAGGGCTGTGCCAACCTGCTGCCACCCCAAATGTCCCTGCAGGTGTCCTAGGGCTGTGCCCACCTGCTGCCACCCCTGACCCCAAGAGCTGCCACCCCTGATCCCAAATGTCCCCGTAGGAATCCCAGGGCTGTGCCACCCTGCTGCCACCCCAATGTCCCTGCAGGTGTCCCAAGGCTGTGCCCACCTGCTGCCACCCCTGACCCCAAGAGCTGCCACCCCTGATCCCAAATGTCCCCGTAGGAATCCCAGGGCTGTGCCACCCTGCTGCCACCCCAATGTCCCTGCAGGTGTCCTGGGGCTGTGCCCACCTGCTGCCACCCCTGACCCCAAATGCCGCCACCCCTGACCCCAAATGCTGCCACCCTGACCCCCAATGTCCCCCCAGGGCTTGCGGGGCGGTGCCAACCTGCTGCAGCTGATGTACCAGGAGCCTGCCCGCTGGTCCTACACCTTCCAGACCCTGTCGTGCCTGAGCCGCCTCAGGGCGGCCCTGGAGCCCCCCGAGGAGGGCGGGGGCACCCCCGGCGCCCCCCGGCCCGTGCGCGTCTTTGAGCGCTCGCTCTTCAGTGACAGGTACCCCAAAAGGGGCACGGGGGGTGAGCATTTTGTAGATTAAACATGTAATTTTTATATATTTTATTGTGTATGTTTTATATTGTTATATCTATTTTTGATATGTGTATATGTTTTATATTTTTATATATATTTTAACATATTATATTTATCTATTACATTATATATTATATATATGTTTTCTCTATATTATATATATAAAGGGGACACGACTTTGAGGACAAGGGACACGGTCCCAAAGACAGGGGACACAATCCTGAGAAGGGACACGATCCCAAGAACAGGCAACATGATCCTGAGAACAGGGGACACAATCCCAAAAACCAGGGACACGATCCCAAGGACAGGGGACA